ATCTTCGCCGTGTTTGCCGTCGGCACCTCCCTTGGTCCATTTATTGGGGGTGTCATTGTACAGCATAGTTCCTGGAGATGGGTTGTAAGTATCTAATCCCCGTTTGTATCTGAGAGAATGGTAATGCTAACACGGTTTGATCAAAGTTTTATCTCAACCTTCCTATTGGCGGAACGGCAATCATCTGCCTGTTTGTCTTCCTCCATGTTAACTATCAAAAAGAGCCATGGAAAGAAAACGTCAAGCGAATCGACTATATTGGCAACGCACTTCTCATGACTTCTATCGTCTCTATTCTCCTCGCTCTCACCTGGGGCGGTACTACCTACGCCTGGTCAAACTGGCGGATCATCATCTGTTTGGTTCTCGGGCTCGTTGGTATGATTGTATTCCACGCGTTTGAGGCCAGTCCGTGGTGTCGGGAACCTATGATGCCACCCCATATATTTCGACACCGTACTTCACTCGTTGCCTTGGTCGTATCTTTTATCCATAATATGCTGACCTTCTGGGTGATCTATTTTGTACCGGTGTACTTCCAGGCTGTGAAGCTTTCTACCTCTACTCGCGCCGGTGTACAGTTTCTACCCAGTGTGATTCTTGCCGTGCCGACTGCCATTGTCGCAGGTGGCCTCCTCACCAAATGGGGCCGCTACAAGCCTATCCATATCGTCGCTACGGGTGTGATTATCCTAGGACTAGGTCTCTTTACTCTCTTTGATGCCGACTCTAGTCCAGCAGAGTGGATCATCTTTCAAATCATCACTGCAATTGGCTTGGGTCTTCTGCTCACAACCACTCTAGCTGCAGTGCAGGCTCCTTTAGAAGAGAAGGACGTTGGACTCGCGACGGCGACATGGGCGTTCATTCGCAGTTACGGTGCTATCTGGGGAATTGCAATTCCAGCTGCTATTTTCAACACCGAGTTCGCGCGCTTGTCAGGCCGTATCTCAGACCCCGCTGTTTCGGCGCAACTTGCGGGTGGAGAAGCTTACTCTCACGTCTCTTCGGCTTTTATTAAGTCACTTGCTCCTCAAGTCCAACGGGAGGTAGTCAGTGTGTACACTGATACCCTTAAGCTGGTTTGGTATGTCTCGCTGGCTTTTGCTGCTCTGGGATTTATCATTACCTTCTTTGAGAAGGAGTTGACACTACGGACCGAATTGGAGACGGAGTATGGAATCAAGGACGAGAATGAAGGCAAGGAAAAAGAAACCGCCGCTGAGGTATAGACAGTGGTGTTTCAAGTTTGAAGATGAAGGATTGGATCAACTAGAGAGTGAAGTTTTCGGTACTGGTTCTACATAATCGCAGATCTTGTTTTTGAAAGTTCAAATCCCGAGTACAAAGGACACATAATTACGGGACGGGGACGGGAAATTTGACTTTATCATTTTCTTACCATTTGAAAGTTTTTTCTGGTGAATACTAAAACCAATGAAGCCCCGGAGTCATCAAATCCTTGTCGTAAGCTTGGCCTGTACCCCTTGTTTATGAGTCTTTACCCACTGCCCTCCTTACCACCAAAAAGTGCTGATTTCAGCCTATTTCCTTCTACGTATTCATGATAGGTTTTTTGTATTAGGTTAACAAATATTTGCTTCCGAGTCGTCTAATATATATAGCTGTTGAATGAGGGCTATGTAAATTCCAATTCATAAATTGAGTCTCAATTATATACATTAGCCCCATAGATACCTTTTGACGAAAGTCAGTTCCAAAATTCTAAACATTAGCAGCCCGATACAAAAAGTACTTACGGATATAATTTATATATACAGTGACTGGACATAAGTTTTTAACACGTCGGGCCCCACACCCCCTGATTATATAATATACTGCCGGTCTAAAACCTCCATAAATTCATACTATAAAATCTAGTATGGTGTATACCACCCCTGGCTCTCAATGATAGCCTCCACCCGGTGCGGCATTGTCTCAGAGAGATGCTCCAGGTGCCTCAGCTCTAATTTATCCCATGCCTGCTGCGCTGTTGCCACTAGTATCTCCTTTGTTGTGTCATTGTTCTGCATATGTAGGAGATCAGGCCGAAGCTCGTATATCTTAGCTTTCAACAACGCCCAGAGGTTTTCAATTGGATTCAAATCAGGCGAGTGAGGAGGCTATTCCATAACTTCAATCTCCATCTTAGCTAATACATCCTGTATAACATACGCAGTATATATCGGAGCATTATCATGCTGAAAAATACTATCTAGATTTGTAAGCAAGATAGGTAGAACCCGGCGGTATAACTCCTCAATCACTAGGCCAGTGATACTAGTACGCTCAGCCTCAGGATTCCCAAAGAGTGGTATAAGCCCTGTACGCCGTGTAGCGCCAGAAAATGCAGCCCAAAACATCTGCTTCACTTGCTTTCCTCGGTGTGGTAATCCTTAATATTGTCCCTCCTTCGGTTGGTCTTTTGGACGGATAAAGGTCCACTCTCGACGTACACCAATCCCACGCTCAACAGTACACTCATCAGACCAAAAAACACGGGCCCAATCTTCAGGTGTAAAGTGCCGATAGCGTAGGGCCCAGCGAAGGCGTTTAACCGCGTGTTCTTCCTTTAAAAAGGGCCGCTAGCTATATCGCCATTTACGGAGGTTCTCCGTATTTAAAAGACGTTATATAGAGCGGTATTTGACCTTATGATCAACCTCAGCAAGGAGGTCTTCGGCCATAATCTTTGGGTTTCCGTGGATAGCGTTCAAGATCTGGTCTTTATCAGCTTCAGTAAGCTTTTTTGGCCTTCCAGATCGCGGTTTTGATACGCCTACTCGGCGCTCGCTCTCCTTTTTCACAGTGTACCGGATTGTAGAGATTGGAATATAAGGATAGCGGTTATGAATACGTCTATACCCCCATCCTATAGCATATAGCTCATATATACGCTCGCGTATAGCAGGCGTAAGCTCTTTTGAACGCGCCATAGGTGGAATGGTATAGAGGGTAGAGAGGAGAGATACTAAAGAGAGAGATAAATATAGGTAATTGGATCTCCTTTTTGAAAAGCAGCTTCACGTACTATTTTAGCGTGGTTTTCATATACGCGTTTTAGGTAGGCGGTATATCCCTACACTAGCGGTGAGCTATGTGGGGCTATGGGTGTGTTAAAAACATATGTCCACTGACTGTATCTTGCTTTTAGAATTGGCAAATAATTTTGATAAACCTGATGCGAAACTATAGTACTATATAAATATCTAGAGGCGAAAGGGCCTGGAATACGCACTATTTGGTGGTGAGTTATTCGCCGGCTGTTTTCTTTTTCTGCAACTCAAAGCGGTCCTCAAACCTTTGAGGGAAAGGAAAATTTGTCTTGTATTGAGAATTTCTGCGAGTGAATAATGTTCCGGGGCATTTTACAACTATATGCTCCGGTGAATCCCAAATTGCCGATCCAGGAACGCAAAGATCCGATGCTGCGCCAAGCTAAAAGCGCCAACCTTTGCCTGAAGTCCCCCTCGGCTATCTCCTTGCCAACCCAGAGATGTTTTTGACTCTCAGAAAGATGACTTAATCGACTAAAAATCTTGTTTGCACTAGGATCTTCTGCCGCGTAGATAGATGCTGCAGCGCCGGTAATCATGACAGGACACTTGACCTGGTGAAGATACTCACCACCATCGGCGGTTTGTAGCGTAAAGTCCTGCATTCGTCGCATAGCATCTGCTGGAGTTTTCATTCCCATGGCCCACTGTACTTGGGTCAACTCCCATTTCAGTTGAAAGTTGAACCTGGAAAGCAGGCCCAAGGTACCATTGAAGACCCCATCGCCCAGCCAGCCTGACGTCCAGGAATTAATGAAAGGAGCTGGCATGCGGGTGACAGCCACTTCCCACATGGAATAGAACGGGTCCACGGCAATACAGGCAGAGATTCGTGGGTCGGCTGCGCCTCTCAATGCATAGTAGCCTCCCAAGGTAGCGCCGTGGAGAGCAACTCGGGTTAGGTCAAGCCCGAGATCAGGATGTTGTGTGGCAAAGGTGTAAAGGAAGTCGAGAACTGGTCCTGTGACGGTCTCCCAGTCAGGTCGCATATATGAATGTGCTTCTCGGCGTAAAACAATGCCTTGGCCGGGTCCCTCAAATATGAGTACCGCGTACCCGAGATCCGGGCCAGATGCTCCGCCAACGAGATAGAGCTCCTCGGCAGTCGAGTCTAAGCCACCGGTTGTTATAACGATAGGAGTTTTCCCACCCGGTAGACGCTTAGAGGCCGGAGGCAGGTATAGATAACCAGGCAGACGAATGCTCTCGTACGGGATCTCAAGCTCGTATACGGGTCCTTCCCGTAGACGTATGCCTTGTTTGAAATTGTGAACCGAGCGTTCCGCAGTATCAAGAATACGCTTGTCAGGTCGAGAGTTCAGCATAAATTGCGCGGCGCGAAAGTAGTTGGAGGCACGCATCAGAGCTTTATGGCGTGCCACTCGGTTTCCTTGCTGCTCTGCCTCGTGGGCAAGTCTTTCTGCTCGCAGCCCTGCCTTCGACCACGCATTATACCAGCTTTCTGGATTTTGTTCACGAATTTCCGGCAGGACCTGGAGTGCTTCTCCAATTTCACATCCACCAAAGCTTGTGGATCCGAGCAAGCGGACGAGCTCGAAGTTGAAGAAGGCGTCTTTGAAGAATTGATACATTCTGGAGAACAACTCGAAGCCGGAATCATAACCCTGAGAATGCAGTCCGCTCCCGACATTTTAAGCATATTCCCTCTAGGCCTATATTATTCGATTATATAAGATTCTCATGGTTTTACACATGTCGATGAATGGATGGGGGCCATTGGCGATTCGGCATCCATCCTCACCGAATCAATTCGGGTGCATTCATAACATCGCCGAAACCTTTTTTTTTTCGACTGACAGAAAGTGCAAAAGAAAATCCCAGATTAATATCGCATCGTATGATATTGGCCAGGGACTTCATAAATGAAACTACGCGCAAGTGTCAGCAGCGCAGTATCCGCAAAACACCCATACTCACTACGCCATGACAATCGAAACCCACAACCTCGGCCTCAATCTTCTGAGATTGGCCCCTTTGGTTCTTTCTACTGCCTCTTTGATGTGCGGCGTCGATCAAGCGAACGCACTCCGGCCTTTCTCGAAGCCTCCTCTCGCCAAAACCGGTGGATCTGTTCTCCCACACTGGTTCTCGGGGTTCTTTGACACTACCATCTACGCCGTGGGTCTCTCGTACCCTCTTGCCCTTTCCACGGCTCTTCTTAATGCGGGGAAGTACGTCGGAGATCTTGATGACACCACAAAGTATCTCTATTGGGCTGGGGCGGCTTTCTCGGCCGGCCACTTCCTCTATGGACCGGTTGCGATGAAGATTATCGCACGAATGTGCGACAAAGAGAATCCAGGGGTTAAGAACACTCAAACAACCCATGAGTGGCTCCATATGAACTTCATCCGCATGATGACTGTTGATGGACCAGCTTGGATCATGTACTTCGCCGCTGTCCTGTCGGCGGCTTCCTTTCCTTGAGCTGCGGGAGGATAGCGCGAAGTTTTTTTTCTGCAACTTAACTGGATGGGAAAGAGTGTATTGAGGGGAGAATATTATTGTGAATGGATTGATTTATTCCAAAAGATAGAAAATACCTTGTGTGTACGTACTTATTGAGCGTATACGTGTTCAGTTGCGCATTTCCATTTCCTTTTGGTAATTCCTCGAAGGCAAAAGTACCTTACAATGGGAAATGATCAAGTAAAGATGGGAGATTAGAAGCCCAGGTGGATGTTAATGAAGACGTTATCAATCTGTTGTGTTTACGTGTGGAGATTCGAAGTCACGCGCCCGGATCAAAATCAATTTGACTACTCTCCAACAATGTACACTAGTTTTGACGCATGAACTTCTCCTTTCTTTAACTTCTCCAGACCATCGGCCACCCCCGCTAGTCCTCCACCCATAATAGTCGGCTGGTGAGGTCGAAGCTTTCCTTCTTCGAGCATTCGGTCAACCTTGGGATACCATGAAACACCGAAGGAATAATCAGCAGGGGTTGGATCTCGATGGAAAACGCCCGCAAGCCCCACTTCATCGCCGGTTAAACTGAATGTGAGGATCCAATCCGCAAGAATCTCCGGTCGTGAGCGCTGCACTCGGTCAGGAAATGGGTCGAGCGACACATAGCGTGCGCCCGGTTGACTGCGCAACGCGTCATAGCAGATGCCCATGCTGCTCGTGCTCGAGATACAGTCCAAAGCGTATCCAAGATCATCATGAGTATATGCGCGAATGTCCTTGCCGCATGTGACCGAGTGGTAATCGAATGCCACTTCTGCCCCAAGGTCGTTGGCCAGACCGAAATTTTGCGGCGAGCATACCGCGATCGCTCGATATCCGGCGTGCTGTAAAAGTTGAAGGGCAATTATGCCCGACGAGGTTGCTGCTCCGTAAACTAACACGGCAGGTGAGGAAGGCGTCACCTTGCGTTCGGCGAAGGAGAGGCCAAGGGTCTTGAAAAGGGCCAAGCCACCAGTTGAGGCACTGATTCCAAGTGTTGCTGCTGTCTCGAAAGAGGTTCCATCGGGGATCTTAAAGAGCAAGTCGGCCTTTGCCACAACATATTCGGCGAAGGAACCATTTGAGGGGCGAAGAGGATTTCCCCCATCACCCAACCACAAACTCGATCTCCTGAGTTCCATGCCCGTTGGCTCTTGGGGCCGGCAGGACCTGCGATGGTTCCTGAAAAATCACACCCACTGACAGCTCCTGGGGTACTGGAGTATGCCAATGTCTTCCAGTCCACCGGATTGAGAGCGACCGAATGAACTTTGACCAATACCTCGTTGTCACCGGGTTGAGGTATCTCGACATCGGAGTCGATTCGGACCCTGCTAGGGCCCTCTGCGATAATAGCGCGTTGTGTATACATGATCAAGTTTATCGAGCCCGTTTGCTAAAGGGGCTCGTCAACTATTTACCTCAACGTGGTGAGTGAGACCTCCCCACACATGGCTCCGAATTATCATGGCCATTCTCCCGATATGCCGTCCCACCGACCATGGGGGCCAAATGAGATCGGCCACCTTTCTCAATCTAGTAATTCACTTGTTTGGTCTTACTCTCGGTATTGGGGGCTGCTTTATGTCCCTGCGTCCGAAAAGTGCACCAATCGGGGATTTCTCAAGCAAAGCACGTCCTGAATCTACTCCCCTAGTGCGGAGGCAAATATAAGCTTCGGCGATGTGTCGTGCGTGATTTCTCAGCCCGATTCCCAAGAGCTGAGTTGATAAGACGAGGCTATGAATACCTAGTTTACAATCTGCGTAGGATACCGCATCGAATCATTCGCTTCACTTTCTTTTGATATTCTGTCGCTCACCGAAGTAATAAAAGCCTGTTGAACAAAAATAAAATCAAGTAGGTCTCGAAAATTCACGCCATGTTTGACGAAAGCTAACTCGTTTAGAAAAGATCGAAAATACAGACGAACTATAGACCAAAATGAGTGGGACAAACGAGCCTATTGCCATCATTGGAACTGGCTGTCGATTCCCGGGCAACGCCAGCTCTCCTTCCAGGCTATGGGATCTTTTGCACCATCCTCAAGATCTCTCAAGAAAGCCTCCATCGACGCGTTTTAGCGCCGATGGCTTCTATCACCCCAACCCAGAGCATCATACAACCAGCAATGTCACACAGTCCTACTTTCTCGAGGAAGACCACCGTCTGTTCGATGCGACCTTCTTCAATATCACTCCGAAAGAAGCGGAGGCAATTGACCCACAGCAACGTCTTCTCCTAGAAACGGTGTATGAGGCCATGGAATCCGCCGGGTTGACTCTGAAAGGCATGGAAGGCAGTCAAACATCAGTCTACGTGGGACTCATGTGCAATGATTTCCACGACGTCCAATTCCAGGACCCCGACTATCTCCCGCAATATATTGCCACGGGTGCATCTCGTGCAATTATTTCGAACCGGGTCTCTTATTTTTTCGATTTCAAGGGACCTTCAATGACGATCGACACTGCATGCTCGTCAAGCTTGGTGGCAATCCATCAAGCTGTCCAGAGTATACGGTCTGGCGAGAGTACTGCTGCTTGTGCCGCTGGCGCTAACTTGCTCTTGAGCCCGGAGTACTATCAAGCAGAATCGAATTTGCATATGCTTTCTCCTTCTGGCAGATCTCAGATGTGGGATGAAAATGCCGACGGATATGCTCGGGGTGAAGGGATTGCGGCCATCTTTTTAAAGACTCTTTCTCGTGCCCTGGCAGATGGAGACCACATTGAAGGCATTATCCGGGAAACCGGCGTGAACTCGGATGGTCGTACTCGGGGCATTACAATGCCTAGTGCTGACGCTCAGCTTTCTTTGATCAGGGCCACTTACGAAAAAGCTGGGTTGGATCCCCTGAATCCAGATCAACGCTGCCAGTACTTCGAGGCTCATGGCACCGGTACACCTGCAGGCGATCCCCTTGAAGCATCCGCTATTAGCCGAGCTTTCTTCAACGAGAAAAGTCACGACGGAGAAAAACTTCTTGTCGGGTCAATCAAGACTGTCATTGGTCACACAGAGGGCGCCGCCGGCGTGGCAGGAGTGATGAAAGCCATGCTCGCAATGCAAAATGGCATTGTCCCCCCCAACCAGCACCTGAAGTCACTTAATCCCAACGTGAAACCCTGGTATTCCCATTTGGAAATTCCAACTGTACCGCAAACCTGGCCCAAAACTGAGGCCCACACACCTCGACGAGCAAGTGTCAACTCTTTTGGTTTTGGTGGTACCAACAGCCACGTCATTCTTGAACGTTATGACCCAAACCTTCATGGAAAGCTACAAGATAAGGAGCATGCTATGGATGGAACCATATCTGAGCGTCCGCTTTCCATTCCAATTGTCCTATCTGCCCATACTGAGCAGTCTCTCTTCGGTATGCTCCAAGCATACTCGAGGTATTTGATATCGCACGATTCGGTAGACTTAGAATCCCTTGCTTGGACATTGCTTGAGCGTCGCTCTCTCTTCCCCGTCAGAGTTGCGTTTTCCCCTGGTTCTCAGAAGGACGTTATCGCGCAGATGAATGCTGCAATCCAGCGCGGTGTCGACTCGGGCACTCGCCTGAAGATTCACGATATCGAGGCTGGTCCTCGCATCCTGGGAGTTTTCACTGGACAAGGTGCTCAGTGGGCCACTATGGGTCGGGCTTTGATCCTTCACTCGCAACTCTTTAGACAGACAATCCTGGAATTGGAACGTCATCTGTCTGAATTGCCACATCCGCCTTCGTGGTCACTGGAGAAGGAAATTATGGCGCCATCGTCATCCTCTCGTTTGCAAGAGGCTGCTTTGTCCCAGCCATTATGTACGGCTATCCAAGTCGCAACAGTCAACCTCCTACATGCAGCTGGGGTTTCCTTTCACACCGTTGTGGGTCACTCTTCTGGTGAAATTGCTGCAGCCTATACCAGCGGGTACATAACTGCCAATGAAGCCATTCGGATTGCCTATTACCGCGGCTATTTTGCTAATCTTGCATGTGGCTCTGATGGTCAAAAAGGCGGAATGCTGGCCGCAGGCCTGAGCCTTGAAGAAGCGAAAGCATTCTGCAACCTTACTCCATTCAAGGGTCGAATAGGAGTGGCTGCAAGCAATTCTGCATCCAGCGTTACACTTTCCGGTGACCTTGATGCCATCCTGGCAGCCAAGAGTGCTCTGGATACAGATGGGAAATTTGCAAGGGCACTGAAGGTAGACACTGCGTACCACAGCTCGCATATGCATCCGTGCTCAGAGCCCTATCTGGAAGCGCTTGCAGCTATTCAAATCACCCCAAAATCATCCAAGCCAGGCTGTGCTTGGCTTTCTAGCGTAAGCAGTGACAATGGGCGACCGAGGAAAGAAGACCTTTCGGGCCCCTACTGGCGCGACAACATGGTGAAGCCGGTCCTTTTTTATGAGGCCGTCCGGGCTGCGCATGAAAGGCGAGGACCATTTGACATTTGTATCGAAGTGGGACCGCACGCTGCGCTCAAGGGTCCGGCAACACAGACTATCAAAGAAGCTGCTGGCCATGCACCGCCATACCAGGGTGCCTTGCATCGCGGAAAGGATGATGTCGTTTCTTTTGGTAGTCTTTTGGGATTCTTGTGGACGCATCTCCCTGCAAGTTCCATCGATCTAAATGGATTTGCGACAGCCATGGGCGATGATATTTCCCGACGACGCATTTCCCCCAAAGACCTTCCATCCTATCAATGGGAGCATAACCAGGTCCACTGGAGAGAAGGACGTCTTTCCACGCAATACCGAAACCGGCCTCCATTCCACGAGCTTTTAGGTACGAGACTTCCTGGTGATGTCGATGAGAATCCTCGCTGGCGCAACATACTTCGAGCGGATGAGGTACACTGGCTTCGTGATCATCGCTTCCAGGGCCAGATAATTATTCCCGCGGCAGCCTATTGTATGATGGCAGTGGGTGCAGCGCAGTCTCTGATCAAGAACGTGCCAATTGAAGCCATTGAAATCACTGATTTAGATTTCGAAAATGCTATAACCGTCCCAGATGGCCCGCCTGGAGCCGAGGTACTCTTCAATCTCCACCAGACAAACACTCAAGATGGCTCAAACAAGTCTGTCATCCAGGCAGAGTACACCTGCTTTTCTGGCCCTGCTGACGGCTCGGCACCGATCAAGAGGATCTTTACTGGAAAATTGTCTGTGTTTCTAGATTCATCAATGGGCACGGGCCTTCCAGCCAAAAGCAAAATCCGTCCTATTTTGTATCCCATGAACGTCGATGATTTTTATGACCAGATGAAGAGTATTGGACTGAACTACTCGGGTTCGTTTCGGGGTATTCGAGCGGCACAGCGACGCCTGTACAATTCGACAATTCGGATTGATCCTCCAGGAGAGGGAGACGGCTCGTTTCTTATCCACCCTACCACCCTTGATGTGTGCTTCCAGGCAATATTCGCCGCGTATGCCTCACCAGATGACGGGTCACTCCAAACATCCTTCTTGCCTCGCAAAATTGGCCGCATTCTCTTCACTATCCCTGAATGTCAGGCCAACCTCGCCGCAAAGTCTAGTGTCAGCGTTGATGCCGTGGTGACAAATGTCGTGACCGCGAACACTTTCCAACTGCCGGCTTTGTGCGGAGATCTTCACGTGTTCAACGAGAAGACGGGGCAAATGCAAATCCTGATCGAGGACCTATCAGTTAGCTCCTTTGCTGTTGGCTCCGAGAATGATGATCGTCAACTTTTCCTCGAGGACCGTTGGGAACTGGACATCATGAGTGGTCTCATTGCTCGCCGTAGTAGGGTTGATATCTCTACAATGAAAGCACCTATGGAAGCATGCGAGCGTGTCGCTCACTTCTATCTCAGAGAGCTCGTCAGGGAAGGCACTTTGTCCCGCATTGTACCTGAATATGAGAATCTCGTTCAATTTGCCCGTAGGGTCGCTTCCCAGCAACCAGCGACTGATGCAATCAGTGAAATCGCATGGGCAAGCGACACGGAGGACGAAATTGCCAATCTAGTCAAACAGTATCCAGACAGTCATGATCTGAGATTGAGCAAGGCCATCGGAGAGAGACTCCCGTCTATTGTGAGTGGCGATTCAGGTTGGCAAGACGACCAAACTGTGGGCATCTTTGATCAGGCCCTCGAACATGGCTCGACTCTGGCTTTGGCCTATCGCGAAATTGGCTCAGTGGCAAGGCAGATTGCTCACAAACATCCTCGAATGTCGATACTGGAGGTAGGTGCACACTCAGGTCGAGCAACAAAGCACATCCTTCGAGAGCTAAATGGTACTTTCTCAACTTACACCGTTGCTCACACCACCTCCCCGGAATACTTGGCGCATGTCCACGATGATCTGCCTAGTCAGGTTTTGCGGGCAAGTCTAGAC